CTCTTTCAGCTTACACGTAGAAGAAAGAGAGATCTACCTGAACAAATCTATCCTCAGTCCTTAAGTATTTTCATGAGTTCTGTCAGGGTCAAAATATTTGACTCATACAAAAGATTCAGTGAAGATGTGGTTCTGCAACATAAAGGAAGACTGATATTCTTCACACTAGAATTGGTTCTCCTTATAATAAAAGCAGATGAAGAAATTGTCTCATGGGAAAATGCCCTATTTAAGTATGTTTATTCCTTGCCTTTTACACAAACATAAATGACATATAAATGTCTCCTATTTGTTTTTAGATAAAGTGTGCACAGTACTGGCCACGGAAGGAGGAGAAAGAAATGTTTTTTGAAGACACAAACTTGAAACTAACATTGATATCTGAAGATATAAAATCATATTACACAGTACGACAGCTAGAATTGGAAAACCTTACAGTAAGTACAGAAATGAGTACCAATCAGATTCTTCAGTCTGTCTGAAGTGAGATTCCTCCTCACCAGCAAGGTCTTGAAAAAGATGGTCACAAATTATAGCAGTTATTGTTCTGGAATTAGTGATTCTGCATTAGATTGTTCTTCAGCCTCTAGGTTGTGTGTTGTGGAAATGAAACACTTAAATATTTATGAAACATATCTGGGGAAACTATGGTCATTTTCATGTCTTGGCCATGCACTGAGTGAGAAGGTTAGTTTGTCACTACGTTACCTTTCAGAGAACCCTTTGTAGCAGATGTTCTAGTGCTTTTGTGTTATAGCTGAAATAATTGCTCTTCCTGTCACTTAAGCTACCTGTTTGCCTGTGTCTTGTTCTAAGGTTTATTTTTCGGTTTTGGCACAAATCTTCAGGTTTTGCATTGACGGCCTTCACCTGAAAGCAGGAATTGTTTTAGTCCTGGTCCTGCAATGAGCTGTATGGAGCTCAATACGAGGATCAGGCCACTAGCTTTGAGAGAAATAACTCTTTTTTTTTTTCTTTTTAATTTTTTTTTCTTCCCCTTTCTGCGCAATACCAAAATAAGAGTATACGTGCCATATCCCACCCTTCCTCTCCTCTTCAGCACTGCCCTGTATTAGAGCAGTGAGAGCTAATCTAAAGCTCCTTGGCGAGACTGGCTAAGGAAGAATACCATTAACTTTCACTGAATGCAGGTCACCAAAGATAACATCTGAGGTCCTCGATGGTGCTGAGCTAGGTGTGTACATTGTGACATGTTAGTCTGAGTTCTGTTCTGTCCTGTCCTGGTACTGCTCACTACTGGAAGACACAGTTATTCCTTTGCTCATCTGTTAGCATCTTGCACGCTTCATCCTGCCGGGAAACGTGAGACAGCAAATATGAATTTGACTAAATTATGCTTGACTAAGAATTTAGCTGATGTAGTTTGTGGTGTGTATTAACTATGACATCTGCCATAGACATGTTTGATGGCTGTAGCTCAGTGTTCTAGGAGGATGTGAGCACCAGTGGTGTAGTAATCTTGGAAGAAAGTTTTCAGGTTGGGAACAAACCTGTAAAGGAACAGCTGTGATAGCGTAAGGGCTTTGTCTGCAGAAAGTGTAAAGGGCTTCTATAACTTGAGGTACTTCATTTTGAGAAATCTTCAGATGATATTCTGTCATTAGAAATTGGAAGGCAGTAGTGCCAGCTGTCTTGTGGCAATACAAGCATTTGAACTATACTGAAAAAACTACACCACGTTATAAATAAGTAAATTCACTTATCCAATTTCCTTTGCTCAAAATGGAGACCTTCACAACAAGAGATAACTATTTGTGGTTAGTTTCTTAGCTGTGCAGCTACAAAAGCTCCTTCAGACTGGTGGAACTTTGTCATTTGAATTTAAGTCAGCTGTTCTAAAGATGTAGTGGCAGCAGTGTAGTCTGAGTAGGATACAAAGCTGAGCAGGCACATGCCTCCATTCCTTGTAAGTCAGAATTATTTTCAAAGGAAGTAGCTAAAATTTTTCCAAAGGCACAAATTTGAAATTGACCTAAAGGTAAAAATGTCTAATGCTGTATGTCTAAATATGCAAGTGACTATTTGCTAGGAAAATGAGTGAGGAATTGTATTTGCTGATTAGAACGTTGTTGTAGGCAACTGTTCTTTGGATACTTCTGACTCGTGTATTCAAGCTAAAAGACTTCCTAAATACCGTTTTTACAGACACAGGAAACTAGAGAGATTCTGCACTTTCATTATACTACGTGGCCTGATTTTGGCGTCCCAGACTCACCTGCTTCATTCCTCAATTTCCTGTTCAAAGTGAGAGAGTCTGGCTCACTTAACCCTGAGCATGGATCTATTGTGGTGCACTGCAGCGCAGGAATTGGGAGATCGGGAACTTTTTGTTTGGTTGATACGTGTCTTCTACTGGTAAGAGCTACTTATTCCCGGAGATATGCTGTTTCTGTAGAGTTATTTTGAGGAATGGTTTGTTGTAGGCTTGCAAAGAGCTGTCGTATGTTCCGTAAAGTATCGATGCATGCTATTTCCCATTATTTTACTAGTATTCTGGTTTGGGAGTGTATTCCAGGGCAGATCTTGTTCTTAACTGCCCATTTTGAGTTTAGGGAAGAAAAGTCTGTATCTTTTAGTGATTTGCAAAGATGGGCTTTGCCCTCATGGTTAAGAAAAAAACCACTAGGTGTCTGTTAAGTAATAGCGTGAACTATCCTGAAACAACACAAAATAAATCTAATGTGTTTCCTCTTACAGAGTCAACTTCACCTGTAGGCAGGGGGAAATTGTCCTGACTTTAAGATAAAACTGGAGTTCCTTTGACCTTGTTCTGTCACTGTGTGAGAGCAGCTAATACACAAAAGCCAGGCCTAGGTTAAAATGTCCTTTTTTTTTTCTTTTTTTTCCTAGAATCATAGAATCATTTAGGTTGGAAAAGACCTTTAAGATCATCCAGTCCAACCATTAACCTAACATTACCAAGTCCACACTAAACCAATTAAGGGTAGACTAGACTAAACAATGTCCCCAAGTGCCATGTCTACCTGTTTTTTGAACACTTCCAGCGATGGTGACTCCACCACCTCTCTGGGCAGCCTGTTCCAATGCTTGACTACCCTTTTCGTGAAGAAATTTTTCCTAATATCCAATCTAAACCTCCCCTGGCACAGCTTGAGCCCATTTCCTCTCGTCCTATCACTAACTACTTGGGAGAAGAGCCCAACACCCACCTCACGACACCCTCCTTTCAGGTAGTTGTAGAGAGCGATAAGGTCTCCCCTCAGCCTCCTCTTCTCCAGACTAAACAACCCCAGTTCCCTCAGCCGCTCCTCATAAGGCCTGTGCTCCAGACCCTTCACCAGCTTCGTTGCCCTTGTCTGAACACACTCCAGCACCTCAATGTCTTTCTTGTATCCTAATTATATTTTCAAAACAAGAAGGACAAAAAAGGGAAAAAACATGCAACATGTTGGAGGCCCGCTGTGTTTTCCTCTCTCTGTCTTTTTAGAGGCCAAATAAATAGCTGTTGATACCAGGTTTTTATTAGTTTATTAATTCTGTAATATGGAGGTTATTCTGAAGGCCATACTACAAAATGAATCATTGTATTGAATCTCATCTCAGAGCATAAAGCATGTTTCAAATTTTTATCTTCAGATGGACAAACGGAAAGATCCTTCTTCTGTGGACGTTAAACAGGTTCTCCTAGAAATGAGGAAATACAGAATGGGGCTTATACAGACAGCAGATCAGCTCCGTTTCTCCTACTTAGCTGTTATTGAAGGGGCAAAATTCATTATGGGAGACGCTTCAGTGCAAGTGAGTATTACTGACTGCACAGCCTAATGTAGTGAGCTGCAACTCTGTATTAACTGTAGCAAATATGTGGAATGAACAGAATAGAAAGAAACTTTAGATTTCAATTCTTGCTTTAGCTTCAATAACTTTTTATATTATGGGTTTCTTAAATACAGTGCTTTATGATCTGTCACTACCTGTAGTATTGTATTCAAGAACCTTCCAAAAAGTACCTGTGATGTAACAGGTGGCCATGGGTGCTTTTCAGCACTGTGATTTGGGTATAGACTGGCTGCATCGGCCTTGTCTTTTATTTCAGGTAATAAAAAATTTTCTAATATGCCAGATGTTTAAGTATTATAATTAAATCCTATAATGTTGTTTTATGGTAAGCAGAACTCTAGCAACACAGGTTCTATTTTGTGCTAATTAAATTTTCCAGTAGATTAACATTTCCTGCATTTATAGCAGATGTCTTCTGTGTACTGGATGCAGCTTAAGTTTGGAGTTCTTGTGTCTCTCTTCCCCCCCACCCCCCCTTTTCCTGTTTTTTCCAATGCAAATGAACAGCCACTTTAAGAATAAATGAAAAGGTAGAGTATAAAGACCCTGCCATGTTAAAGTTAAAAGTTATAGCGGCTTACATAAAAGAAATAGAGAAAAGCTTAATAGGGCTTTTCCTTCCTGAAGGAACAGTGGAAAGAGCTCTCCAATGAAGACCTGGACCCTCCACCTGAACATACCCCACCACCTCCCAGACCACCAAAGCGAACCTCAGAAATGCACAATGGAAGGATGCATGAACACACAGAATTCTTTCCTAAACATCAAGTAGTGGAGGAAGAGATTAGATGTTCAGTCAGCACCGTGGAAGAGATGGTTCCAGATGGCAGAACTCATTCATCTGTACCACTGACCACAGACAGGTAATTCATTTAGTTTCCTACTTTTCTGTCACAAGAAGCCTGTCCGGTTGGCTTACAGCGTTGAGAGGTTGTGAGTCATTTGCTCATAAATGACATTTCATACAGAAGGTCCTGAACAGACCTCGATCAGGTTAGTGTAATAGTTAGTTCCAACCCCAAATCTTTTCAGTAAAGGTCTTGTGCTCATGTTCTTTTAACTTTTCACACATAAAAGTTAGGGTCCCTTACAGGATCCTGCTAGAGTAACAGAAAAAGCGGCAGCATAACGAGGTGGCTTAGTCTTGTAGTCTATGTTAAGTTACAGAGGAGCTCTTCACTACTTAAAGGCTGTATTAGTCATGTAGCTGAAAACTAGGCTGACTAGCTTTAGACACACTTAAAAATGTGAAATTAATTGCAAGCAAAGCAAAGGAGTAGAGGAGGCTTGTGAACAGAGAACTTTTCTACCTGTCGTTGCAACCTAAATGGTAGAGGCTAATAAATGTGCAGAAATGCTGTGTACACGAGCAGTAGAACAGCGAAGAAGCCAAGGTTCCTGCCTGCTTAACCACTAGATGTCACTCCTGATTTATCAGAGTGGCATGGAACTGGTTAGAAATCTACATGCCTTGGTGTTGCTGGCGTCCTGCATGTTAACTAATTTTATTCAGAACAATCAAATGAATGCCACACAGAACAAAAAAAAAATCAAAATTGTTTTTATTTTTTTAAGACTACTAGAAACACATCTCACTAATCTCCAGTTCCCAGAGCCACACACTCTCCCACTGGTTCAGCTAAATTAGATACATCAAGCCTGCCAGCTGCATCTGTTGAGAAGGCTCTAGAGTTCTGTGGACAATACTAAAACTTGGTATTTTATTCCAGTATTCCTATGGGAAGCTGGAGATGTCCTGTTAGGAGACCGTCTAGTGGGGGAACATTAAATTTTCCCATGATTATCCCTGGTGGCTCTGGGAACTGGAGATTAGTGAGATGTGTTTCTAGTAGTCTTTCTTCAGAGTAAACCTCCTCTTAATTTCACGCAGCAGAGAGGCTGAGACCATGAGCTGAACTTGTTTTCTCCCTCCAAATTCTGCTGGAGGCAAGGAGATAAAACTGACATGTTTCCCTGCTCAATGTGAAACAGTGTTTTGATCTGGATGTTTTAATTCATCAGGAAGATCGTGGAAATGAAATACTCAAATTCCAAACACCTTTACTAAAAAGAAAGGAAATCTTGGAAATACGAATGGACACAAATGGAATCTTAGCTACAAAAGAAGGAAATGTTGCAATGGTAGCACCTCCCTCTTTCTTCCCTCTGTGACAATATGGCTCTGTAACCAGAGTATTTGCCTGGGATGTGAGATGCCAGCTAATGCTTTCCATGCCTAATGAAGAGTATGGATTTAAAGCTGGTGTCTTGTGTCTTCTCATTAGCTATATAAATCTGAATTTTTCAGTGAATAAGTGATTTCCTGGAAATCACACAGTGTAGTTTAAATGAACGTAAGACATCTCCAGCTCTAAAGAGCTCAGAGACTCAATTAATTTCATTTATTATAGTCCCTTGTCTGAGGTTGGAGTTGAGTCATCCTCTGGAACTGCCTGTCTTCATTGATTGTAGAGGCTGACTAGACATCTAACTTTTACCTTGCTAAAGGTAAATCCTACCTTATGCGATGTTTCAAGTGTAGTAGGAAAGGTCAGGATTTGAATCCTGAGCTCCCTCATTCCGTACCAGTACTGTTGCTGCAGGATCAGGCCTCCTTTGTGATCGTCGCTCTCGTTCTCATGTCTGGGGCAGAGAGTCTGGAAGGGGGGAAGTGAAACTGGCTAGGCGGGAGGGGGAAAGAATGGAGAGTAGAGCAGTCTGATGTGAAAGGATGTGGGACAGTGCGAGGCTGGAGGAAACGGAGGAGTGGGAAAAAGACATTGTGCTGGCAGAGGTGAGGGAAGGAGCAGCAGAAGCCTTAAGCACGTTTATTTTCCTGCCCAGATATTCTAGTGTCTGGAATGGAAGATTCCTGAGTTCTTCTGTACTTAAGGTGTCAGCAGATATCTAGGAAATCCCCCTGCAAAGCATATCCCTGCTGGTTACCACCCCACTGGTTCTCACAGCATGATGATGCTTGGCTTTCTAAATTCAGTTGGAAGAAGTTGTACAGTTGATATAAAAGTTCCTGCTCAGCTAAGAAGCCTCTTTGGGTGTCAGTATACTTCCAACAGGATGGAGGTCTAGTATCTGGAAGCCAAACCATGTTTAGAGTTTTAAAGATGAAGAGATCTTCAGTTCCATCGTTAAAAGCTATCGCAATGCGTTTAGCCACCCTTTCTGAGTTGCGGCTGCATGAGCAACCACCGTTCCATCATTTTCTGACTTTTTGGGTGGGTGCTTCATTTTAGAACCTTAATGTTCTCCTGATCTGGATGTAAGTTTGGTTTGTGCTAGTTCACCACTCATCGCAGTGCAGCTTGCAGATTTGTGCTAAGCAATGGGAGTAGGTGGTGCTTAAACTAAGTCAACTTGTTCTTTAGAGGGTGCAAAATACTCCCAAGCATGACTTTTGATGACAAGTACTGTTCTAAACCTGTCATTTAATAGCCAGAGCTGTAATAATTCATGATACAGGGTTTGGTTTGTTGTCTGCTGCAGCTTCTGACAGCAAGAGATTTCCAGCTTTGTCCATGGTGTTCAGTGGGTGAGGCCACACTCTAGTAGAGTCTGCATGGCTGCTCTCCTAAATGCAGAATCCAGTACTGAATATTTATTTCTTTGTCCTTAAGCACTAGTCAAGACACTGAAATTCGGAGGAGAACTGTTAGTGAAAATCTGCATCTCTCACCCCACAAAGAAGAGTCGATGAAGTCAGAAAACTCAGAAGAGGATGATGAGAACGTGATGACAACTTGGAAGCCATTTCTAGTGAATATATGCATATTCACTCTCCTCACGGCAGGAGCTTATGTCTGTTACAGGGTGTTTTTTCATTGATGGACATGCCAGCAAGATCGACCCTGCAGAAAACACCAATGATTTGATCGGTTTGTAATAAGCTTCTCTGAAAGAAAGCTAACTAATTGAGGCATGTGCGCCTTGTCTCAGTGGAGGTAGATCTTAGGTTGAAAGGCCGGAACTTTGGTTAGGGCTTAAAGAGAGAGTTGATGCACTAGGGTTTTATCTAGCCCTGTGGTCCCAAGAACATAATATTCTAATCTCAGGGCCTTAAAATATTCAGGAGTAAGCAGAGAAAATGCCAAATAGTCTGTTTTCCTTTTTTTCTTTTTTTTTTAAACTAAATAATAGAATTACAACACATTGTTGTTTTTAGCCTTTTTTAAAAAGCCAGTTCTTTTTCTTTTGTGTTTCAGAAAAACTAGGCACAAGTGAAACTTGCTTGTACTCTCCAAGTGTTGTAACCAAATAAATGACTTATACTGATGAGTTCCCAAAAAAGAAAAAGAAACCCACATACCTGAAGAATGTAAACTTTTTGGAAGGGAGGGCGTTGGGGGAGGGGTGTTTGTGGTTGTTATTTTGTTTTGTTTTGTTTTTTTTAACTTGCTTCATCATTAAAGACTGAGTTGTGGGCAGTGCCTGTGGTATTGATATATTTAATCTTGGCATAACTGTTCTTAAAGAGCTTATTGTTTTACATGTGTTAATAGAAACAGGCTTCTGCGTTTGCTCAGGGTATCCCGACATGTCAAGCTCTTTTTTTTTTCTTTTTTTTTTTTTCTTCTTTTTGTTTTTAATAAGTGTATCTCCTCATTGACTTTTGTTGCACTCTACTTGCACATATGCCTATTTACATTGCACCATCCTTTGTAAAACTGTTTTTACTTTTATATTCTGGGTTAGGAGAGGTTGAGGGGAGAGAGAGAAACAGGAAGGGATATTCAACCAAACCACGTCCACCAGCATTTTGCAGCTGTGCAGTTGGCATTCAGAAGGACCAGTTCTTAAACCTCATCATTTGGAATGTAAAATGCAGTTTCACTCTACATCTGCTCCATAAGGAATAGCACGCTTCCTGCAAGGGCCGGAGAGGTAGTGCGCTCGGAGGCATTGCAGGCAGCGAACAGGAAAGCATTTCAATAAATCCAGAGCAATTAATGCTGTGGCAGCTTCCTTAAGACATAAAAAGTTCAACAGAAGACATGTTGCTCTGTGAACGTATCAGCTGGCTTATGATGCAAGCGTTTGTGTGTTCTGCTTTTTTCAAAGCAAAGATTTAAAGTACTGGCTTTAGTTTGGCTTGAAGATACGCTCTTCAGTAATTATCGGACATAGTGGTGTGAGAGGGCGAGTCTTGCACCTCTGCAGATGGGGTTGTTGCTATCCTCACGTAAGCGTGGCAAGATGGGTGGCGGTGTCCCGTGCCACGCCGTGTCTACGTTCTTCTGCTCGGTCGGGGGGCCTGTTCCGTGGGCTCAGGACTTGAATAATGTAAAGTGCTTGTAAATACGGATTTGGGTGCATTGGTAGAACTGTGACTGGAAGTCGGCATTGCACTAAACAGTCTTAGGCAATGCCATTCCTCTTGTAAGTACCAAATTACTAATAAACAGCAGCAGCAAAGATTTCTTTGCTGGTGTCATGGGGCAGAGGATAGGAGTAAACTCACTACTGGAAGTGGTAGTGATTGAAACTAAACCATGACAGCTGATTTGCAACGGTGTTACTAATCGGTTCTTTTTATTTTTAAAGGCTTCCTAGATTTATAGCACTTAATCACCATTCTCAGTGCAAACATCACTATGGAGTATCTTATGTAAGTCTCTCTCCACTCCATATTTATTTTTGCAAAGCTGTCTGTAGGTGCAGCTCTTTTCCTTCAGTGAATAAGTTGGTGAACGGGGAGGGCTGGGGTGGGAGTTACTTCTGGCTTGTGTTTTGTTAAGCTTGCATCAAGGGCTTTTCAAAAGTACAATAATAAATCCTCAGGTAGTACTGGGAATCAATATTTTACCTGTGAGACTGTTGGTCAGACCAGTACTTGAAAGGAGGAGTGTTGTAATCAGTCAATATTTAGTTATATTATTGGAAACATGAAAACCGAGTATAGAAAAATGGTAATATATAATGGCTCATCTGTGTATTTAAGATACAGTATGTGATTGCTTTGTCCCCACTATTCTCTCCATCATCCGGGAGAATATTGTTCTAAGGCAGCATTTGTACCCCATTTGTATTAAAATGCATGTAAAATCTTCTAGCGTCCTGATTAAATACCATGTGCTTGAAAGGTGAAAGAACTTATATTTCTGCTTACTGATGTGCCCAAATTATATTTGCATGAACTGATCATTAAGTGGCTGTGGTTCAAAGGGTGTTGCTGGAAGTATCTTCGTTCAGCGATAGACTGATTTGGTGTTTATTGGATAACATGTACTCGCCTAATACTTGGCATGACTTCCTATTGAATTTCTGCGTACTCAGTGTAACCCGGTTGTTTAGCATGGTTCATTTCGGCTGAGTAAGTATAGTACAGACATTCCAGAGAGTTTAGTAAGCCATATTCACACCTCACCTCTGGTCGCTTGAGGCCAGCAATAGCTCAGTGCTTTCAGGGTATCTCACTCGCGGTGCTGCCTTCAAAGCGGCGCTGGAGGAGGGAGAGGAAAGCCTCTTCTGCAAGATCGCAGTGCCGTGCTTTGATCTGCAGAAATACAGGCTCCTGACGTGGTGGCCCGTTTGAAAACAAAGAAACAAGAAGCACCTCTGTACTGTTCCCAAGAGGGAACGTTTTAAATTTTAGGCTTGACAGGAAAGCAAACATCCTTCCTCTGAATCCAGAATAATTCACTTGTAAAAATTATTAGAGAAAGTTTCTGCAGATGATGTTTTGAACATCCCCCTTTCTGCCTGTGTATTCTGCCATTTCTTTCATCTGTTCCAAATCCAGAACTTACACTGTCCCGGGTTAGACGGTGGAATATCCCCCAAGCCCAGTGAGGTGTGTATAAGGCTTGTAATACTGAACTGTAAACATTTTTGTTTTGATGTCCTGTATATGTATGTAGTAGTTCGGGTGTGTATATACAGTAGCATTTCAAAGTGGGTGTATTGGCTAACCTATTATTGGAAAATGGACAAATATCCATGTTAAACTTGTTAGAAAGTTAGTGAGCTGCTCTGCTATATGCCTTAAGCAAATATTTACTCATCAGGTCTTTCTTTTTTACAGATTGCCATAGAATAAACTTTTTTAAAAAAATTAAAAAACCAAAAAAGCTAAATGTTTTGGTATAATACATTTTCAGGTATCTTGTCTTTTGTGTAAGCCGCTGCAAAGACCTCACAGGTTATAGTAAAATTGTACAGTTTTTCAATTTCCCATACAAGTTTTCAGTTCTCATTTTAGTTCAAACAATAAAATTCTTTTTTTAAAGAACGGACATGAGAGTCTTATTGCTTCCTGTCTTCTCAGGGCTAGAGCCACTGGCTCCCATTTTGAATCACTTGCAGATGGGGGCTGGCATGATAGTTGGTGGGGTTTGTGTAGAAGAAAGTGATTTAAATGTTACTGTAAGAACTTACTTGTAGGTCAGAGCTCCAGTAAAAGAGAGTAAGTGAAATGGGTGTCCTGTGTCTCTCCCTGACACATACCTCTCCTTCCTCTAGTCTTTCCCTTTAAAGAGTTACAATTTAACTGTCTTGGCCCAGGAAGCCCTGTGATATAAAACATG